AAAGACCATGGAAGTGACTGCAGTAATTCACCTTGTCTTGTTATATGAACAAAGAAGCCTTGTTTTGATGCAGAAGTACAAAATAGACTACTGGTTGATTAGGCTAACAACAAGCTTCACACATCCCTTTGGTATCTGCAGTACAACAGGATAAGATAACGCAAATATATATATGAGGAGAAATTATCTAAATTGCAGGAAATGGAAACTTACTGTTGGTTACAAAAAAATCCACAAGGAAATAAAATGTCCTGCCTATTCTTAAGGAAAAAAGCCAAACAAATCTCCAATTAGGGGTAGTAGATTTCTCTTTTCCTATTCTAAAGGCTTACAACACCACTAAAATGTAAAATGTATAGAAAAGAGGATTAACATGTTCATAAACATGTCTTCCCTGTATTTAATCAATATGTTTCTGTGTATATAGTCTTTTTTAATTCAGTTGACATGTTATAAATGATATAATGAATGTACAACAATTACTTTGAGCAATATGTGATGTTATTTTAAAGTTAGCTTTATTTTTCTTATGTGTGTGGGTTTTATTTACACGTTTCTCTGTGTATTACCAGGCCAGAAGAAGACATCAGAATTCGTGGGATTACAGTTCCAGATGGCAGCATATAACTATCAGGTTTTGAGAAGTGAATTTCATCCATCTAGAAAGGCCACTAGTGCTCTTACCCACTGAAAAATGTTTCTAGTGCTTGTGTTCTCAATTCTACTTCCTAGTTTTTATATAACTGGATGCTAAGTAACGAATAAACTTCAGTTAATGATATTAACACCTATCCTCATGAGAAATTATACGTAATTTCTTGTACCTAAAATAATTTCATATTTGAAGTGGAATAATTTATTTTATTGTTTTCTTTGAAGATAAAATATGGTTTGTAAAGATGCTTATAGGCAGCAATTGAAAAGCACATTTTCAATGTCAATTTAAAACACCAACATTACTAGGCCATGAGATAATCAAATATGTACTCAAAAATTATTCCAGGTTTGTGTTTGAGTTTATCACTTCATGATATTAACATTTTAACCAGTATACAAAGTACATAGAGCTCACTGTTAGAGAGAATGTGACCCATCCAATTTGTTCTGGGTCTGACTTGAGCAGTAAGTTTGTCTCTTGCTTGAATACGATCAAATTTCTCCTGTTTTAATGTATTTGATCTGGTACCATAATAATTTTCCTGTCCTGAATACCAAACTGCATTATCAGTTGTCCCTGTATCTAGTTTTTGCCATGAGTCAGTATGATATGCTTCTCAGATCTTCAGATATAGATTGTAAATATATAATTGACTTTCCTGGACTTTATATTTTTAAAAAAAACAAAGTAAAATAAACAGAACATATTTCAGTAGCCATAATTTTGTGACTTACTTCCTTAGAGGAAATATTTCCTCCATTTATATATATTTGTAATACATACAAATATGCATACATGCATATGGATGCCTTTATATGGCACATGCTCATTTGAAATCTCTTATCTACACATATTATCAGTTCCAGGTATCAGACTGTGGACTATTGGATTGCTCAGCTTCCACAAGTCAATATTATAAATCATATATCCATATGTATGTATGTGCTTACAAATACATATAAGCATGTGGCCAAGTGCACATGCCTCCCCACGAAAAACTTATCTCTTGACTTATAATGAAATCATTCCATAAAATATATTTTGAGGCATTATGGGATGTATTTTATTTAATGTATGAATAGTTGGATTCATACTTCATAAGATATATCACTGTCAAACTAATATAAGAAATCATAAGCAATTCATTGAAATCAGCTTTTCATGGAAAATACTTTAAATGTTAAAAATAATAGGATAATAAAGCATGCATCAAACAGTTAAAATGACTGTGGGAATGAGAGATGGATAAGTTAGTAAAGTGCTTGATAGCTAAGCACAACATGGTGAAAGGGGTAGCAGAAACTAGAGCCTTCTGCAGTTCTGGCCAGTCAAATAAGGGACTTTTGTAAAGCTCCAATTTCAATTGGACACCTTGTTTCAAAAAGCAAAGCACAGAAGCAATTGAGGAAAGCATCTGTGTCTATCTTGGTCTTCTAATATGAACACACTTGTGTACCTACACCCCAATACATGTGCCCATACACATATGCACACATATGCCACTCATACACAGACAAAGACACTTGTATGAGACATCATAAATACAAATGCATACACGAAACAGATACACACATAAAAACTTCCTTGATTATTAATGATTTAGAGATAATAATGTTCTGTTAGGGTTTGTCACAGATACTTCACATTTTTATTCTTAGCATAGACACTAGTGTCACTTTTTATATTTATCCTCTTATTTTGATAAATCCAAACTATTTTTGCAAATACATCAACTGAACATTACAACTTAGCAACAAAACATACTGTAGAGTATACATTTTTTCTCTCCTTATTGAGCTAATTGCTACTATATTTGACTGAACAGGTCTTGGAAATTAAAAATAAATGAGACACCATGTATTCAAGTGGAAAAGAAACAGAAATATTTCAGCAAATTTTATGAAGTGGGATCACAAAGTTTAACAAAAATGTATTGTTTTAGTATCAAAATTAGTAAATGAAAAAATAATCATGTAAGTTTCCATTGTGTGTGAATTAAAGTTTAGAAGAGCTTTACTTACAGGCTTCCAAAACCTGTCTTAATGGCACTACTCTACATGATGTCAAAAAAGCTTCACTAAAATCTATTGTTTCTTAAAGTAGTGTAGACTGCAATTTCTGATGAAATGATGAACCTGAGATTTATATAAGTTAGGTTAATCATCTTAAACAACAGAGAATACACATATTCACATGTAAAGATTGGGTTTCAAGGCTCACATTTGCTTCCTTGCATCTACTTATTCTGATAAAATAGGCAAAATAAAATACCAACTTATTTGGATTGTTCAAAGATTAATTATAAGGCCTTTGTCTTATACAGAACAATAGATAAGTGAGTGTTACTCACGGCTTTATTTTAGAATGATGGATATATCAGTGTTGTTATTACCCATGGAGGGATACTCTCTCAGCCTAGATACACAGGGGAGGTCTTAGACCCTGCCCCAATCCACTTGACATACTTTGACGATTCCCCCATGAAGGCCTCACCCTCCCTGGGGGAATGGATTAGGGGGGTCTGTGGAGGACATGGGAGTATGGGAGGGAAATGGAATTGGGATTGATATGTAAAATAAGATTGTTTCTAATTTAAATGAAATTTATAAGATTAAAAAAAGAAAAACAAACAAACAAAAAAACACCAAATATCAAGAAGTTAAGACTGCTACTCTGAAGTCTAAGCCCTTGCGAACTGACTTGGTGGGTTGTTTGAGAAAAATTTCCATATGTTCTAGGCATGTGTGACTGGGAGAGACCATAGAAGTGTAAGTCCAGGAATTATAAGTGTATCTGAAGCTAAAAGTAGATGTGGAACTGTGCATGTTTGTACATTTTCCTTGGAAGACATAATAACTTTTAACAAATTCTCAAACTCTGTATCACAAAAAAGTGTATAGGAATTGAAACTCAATCACAGGAAAGTTAAATTCAATCAGGATGCCATTTCAGAAATAAGAATTTTCCCAGATTCATTATTAGGTATGCCAGATAAAAAGCTTCTTTTCATATTTCTGTGGTATGAATGTAAATTGTTCCTCATTGTCTCTTATGTTAGAACACTGGTCTCCAGGCCCTGGCACCATATTGGGAAAGGGCAGAAACTTTGAGAGGACAGGGATGGGTAGAAGATGTGGGTTTCTCAGGGTAGACCTAAAGAGCTACATCCCAGCCACAATTCCAGTCCTAGTTTCTGCTTCTGCTTATACTTGGTGAAAGCCATCGGCCTCATTTTCCTGCTGCCACAGCCACAAGTTGTTTGTGGAGTTTTGCCTTCTGGATGAGTGTCATGACTGGAAAAGCATGTGTAAACAGAACTTGGATCTTGGTCTTCATCAGGTTGATGCTGAAGTGGACCAATAGCCGTGAATCAAATGACTTGCTTTTCTGCATGTAAGAGGGTACCAGCTCAGGTTGCTTTCCTATGTGTTATTTTAGAACTAATTTGTCATAACATGTCAATGAGGATTTATTATAACTTTATACTTACGTTACATCTGACTGCAGTCATAAATCTCTGTTCCTTTTCTGTCTTGTACAGTGTCAATTCTTCACTATTAATTCAAAATACAGTAGGTCCAAGTACACAGCTCTATAGACATTAAGCTAGGTTTCTCAGCTCTGAGAAATTTGCTTTCTTTGAATATCGAGAAATATTTGGAGACCTAAGTAAGCAGCCAAATGGTAGAGTGTATGTGATACATGTCTTGGGTTCAATCTCCAGCAACACAAATAGAACAGCAAATAGTTTAATAGCAAATGATTTAACCTAAAATCTCTTTATTTTTGTGGACAGATGCTGGTTCACCACCGATTTTCTTAACATGAGACTCAAGCCTTTTGGTCTCTGTTACCTTGACTACAAATGCAAGTCTACAGCAGAATTGTTAATTTTACATTGGCAAGACTCATTTAGAGCAGAATGATCCGGGGTACCAGTTGAAACTGTGGCTTGGGGGCTCTGTTACTGCTAGCGGAGTCTCTTTTCAGCCTGAACCTTGTCAGTAGTTACAACAGCACAGCCTGTCTGGTGATGCTACTCTTGAAGCCAGTCAGTGAAAAAAACAAATTTGATCTATTGGTGATCATCACACAACCCAGGCAAGTATGCCAACACAGGCTTCAAGGAGTACTGAGATTAGGGATCACGCTCAGAACGTGGGATTTAGAGTTCAAGGCCAGCCTGGCATAAACTGTCTCAAAAGCACAAAAGTAAACAAACCTAAAAATGAAAACATCACAATCCCTCTCCGGTGTCCCACCGATTACTAAAATAGTTCTGAAAAAGAGAAGCAGGTAGTGGGAATCAGACAAGTAGAGAATGCTCTGAACCTACCTGGCGAGCTGTAGCGTGGATGTTGTGCTTCTAATTGATAATTACATTGGGCAGATTCTTATCTTTTCTCGGAGGACCTTCAGGGGCTTTAATAAGAAACCTGGAAAGCCAAATAGTAAAAGGAATATTCAGGAGTTAGTCAAAAGTGCGGGGAGGACACTTCAGGGTGGGCTGGGGATACTGCTCTTCTGATAGTCTTTTCCCTCCTCTTACCGTCGTCTTTTCTTGGCACTGGGCTTCAGGTCCATCCCGCTCCACTCTCCCCAGCCAGGCAAGGTCAGGTCCACGTCCTTTGGCTTACTGGCCTGGATAGCTTCCCTCTTCTCTTTTAGGAACTCTTTGATGACATCATCCCTGGCAAAAGCCTCCTTTATCATTTGCTTTTGCTCTCTCTCCACTTCATCTTCCTGGGAAGAAACAAGAGTAAGAACAGCAACTTGCCTTGTGAGTGCTTCATAACAGGAACGAATCCTGGGTTGTGACATCTTAGCGCCCCCTAGGGGGAAGTGCTGAAAGGATGACCGATTCCAGTAGGAACCAATCAGGCAATCATGCTCAGATTTCCCTCTCTCTAGGGTGAAGATCCTTAGCTCGTCATCATGACACAATTTACAACCTTCAATAAGGAAGTCTTAGGGTGGGAGAAAGGTTGGCCTGGGTCAACAGAAGAAGCTCCAAGTGCGGACAGAATGTGAACTTCCAGAAAAAGTGGATGGGGTGCCTTGTCTAACTAGTTTTAATTACTTAATTTGGGGCTGCAGCTGGGGCTGGGGTTCAGGGCAGATGCCTGGTGTCAGAACCTTGCTGTTACTCAGTAACTGCCCTTTGAGTTCTCGTCCTGAGATCTAGCTAGAGCTTTCAACTGACACCTTCTCCACCGAGGGCTGGTTGACAGTTTCCTCGGGGAGTTTTAGTGGCCCAGAATTTAGGCTGCTTGTGTGGCTCAGCGGTGTCCACATGTCTGCATATGGACCCAGCCTGGAACCACGGTAACCTGGACCTCTTAACTCCTGAAACGTATTCCCAGCAAAAGCAACCTTCCTAGACTGTGCTGTGTGTAAGGACCATTCTGTTCTAGCTCCAGCACCCTCAAGCCCAAAGCCATGGCTCTGCTCACCAGCTCCTCTACTGTTGTGGGAACTGCCAGTGATGTCACAGAAGGCGTTCTTGAGGTCAGGAGGTTCTGCAGACTGATCATTTGTTCCTTCTTCTTTCCTTTCAACAGGTATTGTGGGCTCCTCCTCATCTGCTCCCCTTCTGCTGCAGCTCTAGAGAGCTCCTTATTTGGAAGACTCCTCTCTACCTAGCTCTTTCAGTTTCTCCACAGTTTGGACTCTCTGTGGCCTCTGCAGCAAGATGTTGTGGAATAATGTTTTTATAGACTGTGAAGATGTGTGTTTGCCAAGGCACCTTCTTATTGGTTTAATAAAAAGCTAAACAGCCAATAACTAGGCAGGAGGATTAAGCGTTACACTCAGACAGACATGATCCTGGGCAGAAAGAAGTTGAGATTCCCTGGGATACAGAGAAGGAACAAGAAAAGGAAAAGCCGTGAGCCATGTGGCAATACACAGATTAATAGAAATGGGCTAATTTAAGTTGTAAGAGCTAGGTAGTAACAAGCCTAAGTTATGGCATAACTTTTATAATTAATAACACACTTCCATGTCAATATTGGGGAGACATCATTCCCAAGGTAAAGGTCCAACTACAAATAGAGACTACTTTTCTCTGGGTTAAGCTGAAGGAGGATTACAAACTCAAGGCCAGAATAAGCTATTTATTGACACTGTTTTAAAGCACACTAACTTAGGTTGCTAGGTAGGTCCTTTTGGTATACCATAACAGAATGGGTAATGTTTTGCTCAGACTTAATTGTAAAAAATAAACCCAGAAGCAAACTTTTTGAATTGTCTGTGTTAAGTGATTTTAATTTAAACTTTGCAACATGTAAATTTTGACATTATTTTTACCACATCTGGGTAATAAATTCTTTACTATACTGAGAGGTAAACTAAGCATATACTGACAAAAATTCACTTTTTATATCTATTGTTCATTGTCAGAGGTGTAGTCTAAATTTATTGAGCAATACCATTTTATAGTGTTACTACTAGAAGATATAGTGTTCCATACAAGTATCCACCATGAATCCTTCAACCACACTGTATATTTTCCTTGCTTTAAGTATATGTCCCACATCTTCATACACTTTTATTTAATTTTAGTTGAATGAATACACTACAAAATCTAAACAAATTGTTTTGAATTTTGTACTCACTCTTTATTCACTGATTTTTACTTTGTCAATGAAATTCTTTTAGATTAAAATATTTTGAAAATATTAAGTTGGTTGTACCACCAAAAATGCATTGAGTCCTACAGGTTTCCAAACAGAAATCAGTAAAATTTTAATATGAACAGGAAAATTTATTTTACTGTACCTCAGTTTCTGATAAGATCAGATCTTTCTTTAGTATTCAAACTATAAAAATATGAGCATACAGAGGGAATGTAGGGCAGAAGACAAGCACTAGAAATATTTAGGTAAGTGGATTTTTCCGACATTGTTTGTAACTTCACTAGAAAATTTAAAAAAATGACAAGGTAAGAATTTTTTTCTAAATTTTCAATATAAGTAAATAAAACAACATCCATACTTTATATATCTATGAAGCACAATTTAATTTTCCTAGAGCTAATAAAATATTTTGGAATTTTGTACTCTGTTACTGTTCTAAATAATAAAGTAATATACATAATATTGATAAACTAAAATTAATGTAATAAATTGTGTACACTGTAATCAGTATTAATTACCTTACAAACTTATTATGTTGGTTTACATATCAGTCTCCCTAACTCATTTTTTCTTTGTTTTAGATGCCAACTTTTATAAATCTTAAGGTAAATCTAGAAATAGATCTAATAAAAATAGTAAAATGCCACAGTATTTGAGTTGTTTACATCATTGTAAGAAACTTGTCTATCAGGAGCTACTGAAGTTGGGTACCTACTATTTTACCTAATGAAATAGCTTTTAAGCCATGATGATGAAGTCAGGCCAAGTTCAGTATCTATTGTATATTTAAGAAGTCTTACTACTACTGTCACAAATGAGTAAATTTTATTGGATAAATGTCTTCACATTTGGGGAGGAGATTTACTTGATTAAATATATCCAAACTGGAATATACTGCAAAGGGAAGATATCTCAGAAGAGTGCTTGCTGCACTTCCAGTGGACTTGAATATGGCTCTAAACACCCATCCCAGATGGCTCACAACCATGTGTAATTCTGTCTCCAGTGTATCTGTATAACTGTTTGGCCTCTGAGGTCACCTGCACACATGACAGACACATACACATACATAAATGAAAATAAATAAATGATACTGTTAAAGAACAGACAGATATACACTGTACACATGTGCTCTTGCTGACAGCCTTCTGGCCCACTCATTTTATTCAGTGTTACAGAAAAAGCATCATGATTTATTCAACTCACAAAATTGCTTCGTTGGCCTCACTCTTTGCAATGTTGTGTCCTCTTTAACAGTGTGTCAATAAGCCCAACTTCCACCTGTGCCACTGCATTAGAAAGGAGAATTTAATTTAAAAACTCATTGATTTCCTACCAATCAATAGGGAAAACTGAGCTGACACAGCAAGACTCATTCTAATCCTATCCTATCTCCACTAACAACACATGAAAATGCTCCATAAGAGATAGGAAAATATTTTAGGAGATATATAACAGAATTCAAACTGAAGGTGGAGGAAATGTGAGGTTTTCTAGAGAAGACAAAAGAAACAAAAGCTAGTAGTAATAACCTAAAGATTAATTTCAGGTCAGCCTAAGGTATACATAATAATTCATTGGGTCTTACAGCTCTGTCACTCTCTTAGGAAAACATATTTAATCTTAAGGTCCCACTTGTACAGAGCTCGGGTTGGGCTTCAGGAGGTAAACGACCATTTTCCTCCCATAAATTGTAATCGCACACTTTGTTTATTTCCATGCCAATTCTTGTGTCATACTACAAATAAGACATGGGTTCCTGAATGTGGGAAATGTCCTTAAAATTTTTGATTTACAAACAGAAAGACCTTAATGTAGGCAGAAAATTCAAACTTGAAACTGATCTGTGGGCCATATCTGAAAGGAAGAACACAGAAAAGCACCACCTAAAACAATCCTGAGGTAACACATATTTCATAATAGTATTAATGTTCTAGATATTAACTATTGAAAATTTTGCATGTGTGTTATAAACTGCTATGATCAGGAAGTTTATTATAATCTTATAAAAACAAAAACTACAAACAAGATGAATATTCTTGAATAGATGAATTTAAGTATATTCAAAGACATGTATACTATTTAAAAGTACAAATGAACACACATTACAAATATTTCTCTATGTACACTAAAATTTGCAAGATTTTTATAATAATAAATTAAAATTTTATGTGCATACATTGACTAATATTTAAATTACCAGTGGGAAAAATCAAGATATTAAGATACAATTCGATATTTTCCAATGAGGTTCCAAAGTGAAAGGATAGTATGTATTCTTTGTATGTGAGAGTGAATATATGATATACAAATAATCAGGACTCTAGTTATAGCGATACACAAACAAGATCAATGTTTATTTCTCAACTTAATTAGAAACTCAGTTAACATTCAGATCATTTTCCTAAATTTCATTACCATTTTCAGTGAATTCCCTAATAACCCCAGCTTTATACAGTTAATCAGGATAATGAAATTTTACATAAACAGAAAAGAATGAACTCATTTGATTATTTTTAACATGAACAAGATGACAAGGAGCTTCAGATTTTTCCTAACAATTAGAAATTTCAAATCACCATAATTTTCCATACACTAAGTATTTTATCTTGAATTTAGCTTGAAGAGTTGAGAAAAGTCTGTAAGAGGCATGTGTTGAAGCTAGCGAAAACATTCATGTGGCTATAATTTCCATATGAATAATTAATATATTATTTGTGAATGTATCATTGTTCATAGTAATCATATCCACAGTTTCTCTGCTTGGTAACAATAATCTAGTCATAATTTTGAGGTTATTTAATCCAATGGAAAGTAATAAAACATGATTTAATTAAAATTTTTATTTAATAGAGAGTATGTACAAATCCGGTTGCTTTTTCAATTCACTTTATTTATATGAACGTTGTCCTCAAATAATTTAGATTCAAGTACAATTTAGCCATTATAGCATATTATCATTACCAAGGTTTGGAGAAGATATTTCATAATCAGTTTTGACTTATGAGGTTAGAGCTTTATTGGAACTTATATTTTTAAGGCTCTTAATTTACTATTTAGAAGAAGAGGATTAAACCCTAGGTGATTTTGACTATTTGCTTCAACATTATGTTTTATAATCTATATGCATATTGCTTGTATTCTTTGCATAAAATATTGTAAAATAAAACCACTAGAGATGAAAAACAAATATAAACTATATAGATACTTCAGATGGGAGATGACATCATTTTTGCAGCAGATAAATACTAATGTAGAGACCAACAATCAGTCAGTATACAGAAACAAGGGTCTGAAGAGTGCTCAGACCTCAAGCAGACAACTAAATCATACCTCCTCCTAGAAAAGCTCAAGGGTTATAGCAGAAGATGTTATGAAAAGATTAATGGTGCTTTAGGAAGTGGGTGACTATAATGCATAATATTTTCTTGAAAAATAAATGATTAGTATATATTAACTCACAAGAATCTGCAACTGAGACTTAATACCCAAGCCCTGAACAGGATCATTCCAACCAAATTCCAAACATGGGTTGAGGAGGGAACTACAAAACTTAATTGTTGTTTCTGTACGACAGAGTAGTCTTTACTAACTACTGTGAGATTCACCCAAATGAGTAGGAAAGGCCTGCAAAAGATTGGCATCTGGATGAACGTAAGATCCAAATTTGATATGGATGTAAATATATGTTACCATTAACACAAATGGTGAAACTATGATATTCTTGATACTGTGCCAGTTACTATTTGTAATATAATGTATAACAAATAGTTTACACATAGTATTACCTGATCAAATATATGGATGAAGGCAAATAAAAGAAGACAAGAACCCCTGAAAGAATGAAAATTACTTGGGAATTTCAAGCTGGGAGAAGAAAAAGGCACCAGCCAGAGGGGAAACTTGTCTCCCACAGATTTAAAAGTTATAACAACTTGTCAGACCACCTTATAGCATCAGAATGAAGCC